ATTGCTTTTACTGTTTTCAAATTGCTTGGTGCACAGTGTGAGGGGAGGGACACAGAGTGGGGGGAGGGACACAGTGTGAGGGAGGGACACAGTGTGAGGGAGGGACACAGTGTGAGGGAGGGACACAGTGTGAGGGAGGGACACAGTGTGAGGGAGGGACACAGTGTGAGGGAGGGACACAGTGTGAGGGAGGGACACAGTGTGAGGGAGGGACACAGTGTGAGGGAGGGACACAGTGTGAGGGAGGGACACAGTGTGGGAGGGGCAGGACCAGGAGAGCCCTCTAGGCGCAGGCACAAGGCCTTCCAGGAACTGACTACTTGGGTCAATCACAAGCTGGTCATACCAGCCCCCTCCCCCATCATTTTTCCCTGGGATCCTTGCCAAACCTTAAGCCAGGAAACCTTGTTATATTAATTATGAAGAGAAAGCATGTTTTATTTAAAATCCCGGCTGCTGAATTTTCTGCCATGCTGTTTCTCTTTGACAGCAGAATTTCTTTTGCATTTAGGAAATCCTAATGCATTTAGAATATAAATATATCCGTACTTATATACACATGTGACTTCAGCGACCTGATTTCCCTAAATACCAGTGTACACTGCAAAGCTAATGAGTTAGACTCCTGCTTGCAATCAAGTTGTTTTTTCCTCTTAAGTCTATGAGAAGTTTCAGTGGAATTCAGTCCTTTCCTTTACCCAGAAGTCTTTGCCGAGGTTGAAGAAGAGGAGGGGACCCCTAGGCATGAAAGAGACTGCATTCTGGGGTTTCACAAAGGGTGAAGTCCTAGGTTCTGCCCTGGGGATTTGAGTGCTGAGACAGGGGACTGGCCCACTACAAACTGGCATGAATACTTCAGCATCTGTGGTGTGTTTGAGCAATAGCCATATAATCTCTCTGTCTCTGTCTCTCTCTGTGTGTCTCTCCCTCCCTCCCTCCCTCCCTCAGCGGGTGATGAAGGTGTGGAATGGTCAGGGAGACTGGTGCACGCCCCTTCACAGTGTGCACAGGAATGTGTGCTCACTGTTACCAGAATATGCAGTTTTTATGAAACCTTGGAGAGCCCTATCTATATTTGAGATGTTCTGCTTCTCAAATGCTGCCTGGCAACTGAAAGACAAAGCAAGAGCTCTGCAGGCTGAGCCTCTCCACAGCAAGCAGATCCAGGCCACGAGCAGAAGGATGTACTCCAATTTGCCATCTCTTGTCTACACAGGCCATTCTGTGGTTCAGTCCCTAGGAAGATTCCGGAAGTGGAGTAGTGCAGAGATGTAAACAAACAAACATTCTCCTATATGTTCCTTGTGCAGAGCAGCAGAGACCACTATCTTTGTTCCTCTCTGAAGCAGAACAGGGCTGACAAGCACTGTTCTCTTATTCTGACCCTGGAAGACATAGAATGTTATGGTGGTCAAGCTCAGTGTG